CTAGAAGGTTACTACCAGGTTTGTAGATGCAACGATCTGGCGGAGAGTGAATGGAGAACCGGGGTTTAAATACTGCAGTGCTGATGAGTTAAAGGCTGGCAGGTTTGAGCAGTCAGACAGGTGAGGAGGTAATCAAGGAGAGTGGGAGGAGTCCAAACACACAGAGACACAGGGAAACCAAGGAGGAGAATACTACTGACTATAACAGTATCTCCAAATCTTTAGTCTTTTCTTTCTTCATAAATCAATGCTATTGCTATTGCATTTTACAAATATTTATGAATGAACAGTATTAAAACCAGTGCAGTGTCATTTAAAAACACTTTTTGTTTTTTCTTTTCCTGGAAAGTAACTAATTAGTTTTGGAGATACAATGCTTCTGCAAGAAAGTCATGATATGCAGCTCCAAAATGGCCCAAATTAAAGAAGTAACACATTATAAAATAAATAAATAAATTGGACTAACTGTGAGTAAGTAAATGAAGAATAACTTGTAAATTACTCAATAACCTCTATGTTATTATGAAATTCTATGTCATAGGTTTTAGCCACGCTGGAAAATGGTCCACCACTTTTTTCAAATTTTCTCCAGATGGCTTGATGGATGACTTTGGTGATCTCCTGGCTTTTCATTCAGCAGCACCATCTCAAAATGTGCTTTTTTTCCTGTGACACTGGGTCTATACATGCACCAATAGTTGTGTAAAGCACTTTGGATGAAAACATATCCTCCAAATGTTTATACACAGCATGTGGAACACCAGTGAAACAAATATTCATTGGTCACACATCTTCTAAACACTGTTTATCATCTTACTTTCCATTTGTTGAAGCAGAAACACTTTAGAAAGCATGAATATAAAAATAATTCATTCTGTAACCACTGCAGCAAATTGATTTTACACTTTCAGCTTACATACAAGCACTCGTGTTATTTACTTCACATAATGGGTCTCAGTATTCTTGTGGAGATGTGTCAGGGCCACACAGACATTCCTACACATTGTCAACCACTTTCACTTCACACAAGGTCAGCCCCGGATGTATTCGGCAGCGTATCTGCATTCATCACATCTCCATTCACAGCAAATAAGCAACCTGCGGGGCCGCCGGCAGCACGCTGTCACTCTCTACACGAGACGTGAGATTTGTTCTCTCGTTTTGAACCTGATCTGTCCAGCTAGACAAGATTTGCCTGCAAATGTAAGCCAGTTTTTTAGGTCATGTTTGAGAGCAGGTTTCAGGTGTCAGTTCTGGTTTTCTCCACACTTTTTTAATTTGCTTTAAAAAATTAAATAAATGCAACTGAGGCAAAGGGGGGTGAGTGTAAGTTCATTTTACTTTCAGCCCTGGCCTTGGAGGAGCCAGCACAGCAATTGTGGAAAAGACTGAGTAAACATGGAGACAGATGGAGGGGTGGAGGGAAGAAGAGAGCAACTGAGAAAAGGAGGGAGGGAGGACAGGAGGTTTGGATAAGGAAGGAGATGTGGGTCAGAATAGTTCGTTGTGTGCAGACTTCATAGGCACAAGGACACCATCCCCTTCATAAAAACACACACTCAAACACATACAAACACACACACACGGAGAAGGCCACATGCGAAATCAATGGAAACAGAAACAAATTCAGCAACTTCAACCTCTGCACCACCTGAATGTAATTCAGGCCCTTTATGTGCACACCAGCTTTAAAAGTCTAAATGTAATTAAATCAATGTAAACATAAATTTGTCTAAATTTCAGAAATATATACAATTTCATGTTTATTTTTGTCAACAAAACAACTGTTGTGTCTTTTCTTAAGTGCTTCACTAAAATCCTCCAAACAAACAAAAACATTTAATAGTAAAGATGCATAAGGTCACAATTTTCTTTCTGTTCTGTTTGTAAAACAGATGCGAAGAAGAGAAAGCCTTTTCCAGTTCATAGTCAAGATCCTGTTAATATCCTATTTTCTGCATCCGTGAGCATCCATCTGATCACTCTTATAAGCAGGTTCAGGAGGCGAACTAAGAGAGAGCAGGTCTGGGTCACCAGATTTTTACTGTTGAGTCCTCTGTCGTCCAAAGTCTCACTCCTACTTTCTTATTCTCCAGCTCCTTTGTCTGCATCTTAAATTGTTCTTTATCCAGCAGGATTACCAGTCTCATTCCATGTGTGTTTGGAAGCTGTAGTCTTCTATGAAGAGTTCAAGGACACCAGCTGGTGAAAGGATACAGCATGCAGTGGACAGTCTTAAACCTGCAGAAGACAAAAGTGATGAATAATAACGTGGGATACTTTATTCTCTATGTTTGATGCAGTGTATATTGTAATCAGATGGGGTGAAAATACACATGCTTAAATAAACTTGAGTATCATGATATTTTGTTTGGTGATATTGTATTGATTCCCAAAAACACTGTATCGATTTCTGTGTTTAAACCCCCAACCGAAAGTGCTGTGATAAATACAAATGCAACCAAAAAGCTTAAGTTTCCCCTTTTATAGTTTACATCAAAACTTCAATATGATTTTTCACAAACATATTGTAGATAATACTGTAAAATGGCTTCCTCTCTCATGTCATCAGTCTTGACTTTATAGCAACTAATAATTACTGTCAATAAGTTGCGTCTCAAAAACAAACAGGTGGCAGCTGATTACATGTTGAGATATTTTTTCTAAGGTGACAACAACAGTACGTCAACCATAAATGAAGCAGGTCACTGTTTACTGACTGTGGATAACGAATAAATTACATCTCCAGTCTAATACATATTGTACATGCATACAAGGTTAGTTAGTTATGTGAAAATATATTTCATTAAGCTGTAGCTCATTAACTCCCCAAAACAGCAATCAAAATTATAATGTAAGAAAAAAAAAGGGGGGGTTTTTGGCTTGTATTTGGTAGAAACAGTGAAAGAAATGAGGGGAGAGAGAGAGAGAGGGGGGATGAGGTGCAACAATGGTCCCAACACTGGACTCAGACCAAAGACATCATGCTTACATTGTCAAAGTATTAAACCCATAGGCCACCGGGGATGTCAGAAATTACAGGTTAGACATCAATAAGTACAACTTTATTTAACCAGGAAAGTGCTTTACTAATTTTTTTTTTTAAATGTCCTGACAAACATATCTGGAAAATTAAAAAAAAAACCTCAAAGTTTCTCAGCACTAATTGTACACATCGAAAAACTCAATAAATAAAAGTAACAGAAAAGTCCATATATTCTATAGTATACACAGTGAACTGGAGTCTGCCGTGTGTGTTGCAGGGAACATCAAGTTATCTGTGACTTTGTATTGTCCTCTATCAGCAGCCAGTAGAGACTGCGACAGCCCTGATACAGATGAATCTGCTACTACAAAAAAAGAGAAAGCTAAAAATAGTCTGGCAGAAGAATCTAATGAAGATGTCATACAGTAATAACAATGTTTATGCTTCTTTATGATTTTTTACCTCCGGCAAGGAGATTATGTTTTTGCTCCTATTTGATTGTCTCGAATCTCAAAAACTTGTTAAAAGTTTTAAAAGGAAAATTGATGAAAAATAGGCCATGGACCAAAGAACAAATTACTAGTATTTTTTAAGGATCCTGAAAGTTTTTAACAAGGATTTCACGACATTTCACAACGTTTCTGCACTTTTGGCCTTGAGAGAGTCTCTTATATCTGCTTTTATGTTATCAAATGTTTTGGGCGGCACTTCTAGACGATATTGTTTTGCACAGTTTTGGTTTGATTTTAATGAACTTCGTAACATTGTGAGATATTCATTTTTTGGACTGAGTGTCCTTTTTAGATATTAAGTGCTTGCATATACAATATGCAAATGTCTGGTAAACCTTTGCTCACAGGCCAGAAACTCTCATTAACCCCACTTTGTGTTATGGTACAGCACATAACTATTACATCTTGTCCCTCACAAATTGCTGCACTGTGACTGTCCACACAACTTTCTTTTTTCTTTATTTTTTCCTATCATTTATAATTGACTGCATATTTATATGACAAGATTTATTCTTACGAACCTGTTCAGCGATGCTAAAATAAGACATGAAAGAAAGGCTCTGTTTAGCAACCTGTCCAACTTTGTTTGTATAGGCAGATAAACCTTTGACCTGCTCCTTTAAGGCTGCCGCAGTGTTGAACGTAACTCTGTGCGACACCAGTGGATGGAAACAAATGGAAAGAGCTCACTGAGGAGTGCTTGTGGTGATATGTTCTCACAGCTGGTGATGGCATGGACTGGGAAAGACAAACACATCTCTTGTACCATTGTGTTACATCAAATTGCTTTTATCTCTGACTGAACGGAGAACAAGATGAACTGGAGCTACAGGGGTGTCACGTCTTCAGGTCGGTTCATCTGAGCAGCAAAACTGAGTGCTGGGGATTTCTAAAAGCAAAGTAACTCGTAGTAAACAAGCAAAATGAACTATTCATGTCATCAGTTTTGAATATTTATTACTATTTTAGACTTGTGCCAAATCTTTGATTTCTCGATTACAGGTTTATACGTGTTTATTTCCACATTTGGACATTCAAGATTTGAAACAAAGTAGCATCTAATTTTATTCCACGCAAAAGTTTTTTTTTTTTATTGTACCACTAGTGACAACATGATCTCCAGTGATATGAAATAGAGCAGTGTTTCTCAAACTCCTGGTCCGCACTTCCAGTTCCTGTTTGGAGCCCCGATTGCAGTGTTTTCAAACCATCAATTTTACCTCTGCTTACTATCTTGTGCTCACATTTTAGCTTGCAACTAACCATGCATGTATGCATGCGCTACCTGCATGAACGAGACTAAGTAGCAGACTCATATTGACACCAAATATTACAGTAAAGTTTATTTTAGGTGCCTGTGCTTGTTTCACATACTAGGTTGCAGGTCTTAATATGTATGAAACCTATATCACTGACTGAAGGTTGAACAGTTACAAACAAACTACACAAGACAGTGTGGACAGAGATATGTTGCTGATATGTCCTCATTCGTGAATTAACAGAGGCAGAGACAAACCTGGAGGGGTCTTCCTCCTTAGAGAATCTTCCTTTAACCTCAATGCTGTTCATCTTGTTCTCAAACATCCCATAGCTCAGAGTCACCTGCAGTGGAAAGACACACACACACACA